TCTTTCTTTCTTTCTTTCTTTCTTTCTTTCTTTCTTTCTTTCTTTCTTTCTTTCTTTCTTTCTTTCTTTCTTTCTTTCTTTCTTTCTTTCTTTGTGTACCAAAATTCTTTCTTTTCCCCAAAATAACTTTGTAACCTTGGCTTTGAATAGCGAATTACAAAGATGGCAGCTGGCATGTTTTGGCTCAGACTTCAAAGACAGTTTCCTGGGCAGGTAGCCAGTATTTAATAACCTCAGTCTATTAAAAAAAGAGAACGAGAAAAAGAAAGAAAGAAAACAGAAAAACATCTGCAAATGTATTTCCCTTTGGATTTTTCAAACTATGTAATGTCACCAGTTTTGTAAGCGATCAGCCACTGGATGGCACCATCAGATAACATAATGCTGGAAAACAGGAAGCTGAAGGGAAAAGCTATGGGAAAGGCTGAGCAGTACTCTGAGCTCGGAGACAACGACATGTGAATGTGCAGGGAAGGCGGATGCACCTGCACGGCACCCGCGATCATGCCCCGCCGGCTTAAGTATTGCACCGGGTCCTGTGATAGTCATTGTTGGTATGTTGAGCTGGCAGCGGGAGAGCTGCAGCTCTGTGTTTTGTAACAGCAACCGTGTTTGGAATAAAGTATGCTGCAAAGCATGTTCATGCCATCGGGTCTGCCGTGGTCATTCACAGTGTGGGTGTACCATGTTTACATCTCTTCGTGGGGACCAGAAATTGAAATATTACTATACTTGTGGGGACCAAAAGTCGTTATGTGGACAAATTCCTGTCCGCATGACTTTGAAGGCATTTTTGAGACTCAAAATGTGGTTTTGGTGTCAGGGTTGTCCTTTGGACATGATTCGGTTTAGACTAAAGGTTAGGGTTAAGCATTCATTTCTGATGGTTAGGGTAAGCGGCTAGGGAAAACATCTCAATTGATGTCCCCACTAAAATATGAAAACACGACTGTGCATGTGTGTGTCTAATTTATGTTGTGTTCATGAACAAGCCACAATAAGTTGATGCATTTACTAACTGTGACCTCAGTCTGTGCTATGGAGGCATGGCTCTTTATTTTATATACAGTGGGTAAAATAAGCATCGGACGCATCATCAATTGTCTAATTAAATATATTTCTAAAGGTGCTATTGAAATAAAATTCTCAGCAGATGTCAGTAATGACTCATCCACACATGCAGAGAAATCAAACCACAGAATTAAGTTATGTGTGATAATGAGAGCTGAAACTGGGAAAAAATATTGAACAACCTTAGTGATTTTTTCTTATTTATTGAAGACGCCTCCTGTACGGAAAAGCAAGTTGCATGGATTGCTCAGGTGTGATTTTGGTTCATTCTTCCATGGTGTTTATTATGGCATCCAAAGAGTTCGATTTTGGTCTCATTTGACCCGACGATATTCTCCCATTATTTCACAGGCTTGTCCAAATGTTGCACATTTAGAGCAACATTTAGACAAGATATTTTAAACATATTTCATCATGCTTTCCTTCATCAGTGATGAAAAGCAAACATCATCTTGTGTGATGATGCATACAACTGTGGTGGCTGAGTACATTACTTGTTTTCACAGAAACAACTGTACCTGCCAATTCCAGGTCTTTCTGTAGCTCTCCACAAGCGCTGCTTGGCTCTTAGACAACTCTTCTGATAATTCTTCTCACTCCTTTGCCTAAAATCTTGTGGGGAGCATCTGGTTATGTTAAATTATGTTCTTTCCACTTTCCAGTTTTGAAATTCTTCTGTAAC